TGACTCTTGACGAATGTATCTTTCCTTTTATGTACACTAAGAGAATCCGCACCAAGACCAATTCCTTGTGTGTCCAATCACACTTGGCCAATAAGGAATTCTATTCTATTCTATTTATAAAAAATATCTACAGACCCCTCACATCCCGGACATAAACTGTTTCAACTCCAACCCTCAAAACGATGCTAGAGCACTGCACACCAGAACAACTAGACACAAGGACAGTTTTTTCCCGAACGCCATCACTCTGCTTAACACATAATTCCCTCAACTATTTACAAAGTCTGCACTACTGTTACTATTAATCTTCTCATCAGTCCTTATCACCTACCCCCTTCCACTTGTGACTGTATGACTGTAACTTTGTTGCTTGTATCCTTATGATTTATATTGACTGTTTCCTGGTATGATTTGATTGCTTATTGTACCCCATGACTATCATTAAGTGTTATACTTTATGATTCTTCACTGTTGATGAATGTATCTTTTCTTTTTTTATGTACACTGAGAGCACATGCACCAAGACAAATTCCTTGTGTGCCCAATCATACTTGGCTAATAAAGCATTGTATTCTAAGACAACTAGGTCACAGATGTCTCAAAGGTGCTTTCAAAAAGGCAACTGGACTTCCTTCAACGATGATTCATCCAGTTATCTTTTTGACAGCACCTTTGGGACATTCTTATATTCTCCTTTCTCCAAGAACCTCCATGGAATCTCCATCAGCGTCTCCCATCATGTTATCCCCACAATGATAAATCTGTGGGCTGAGAAAGACCCAACGTTACCCAGATAGCTTAGTCGAGATGGGACTTCAATATGAGCCTCACCACGTCTAGTCCAGCCCCATCACCACTGAACCCGCCTGGTTCTTGGGCTGAGGAGGAGGGAGCCCAAATCGTTTCCCCTTACCTTGGCATCTCTGGTGTCTTCCTGCAGCCTTGAGATGGTGGAATCAAACTGATGGTTGAAGAGCGTCTCCAGCCAGTTCACCATGGACTTTTCTTCCTTCTCCGTGTTGATAATGGTGGGGTAGATGTGCTGCTCTTTGAAAGCCGCAATCTTCCCCTCTTCTTCTGCCCATTCCAGGGCTTCGTGGAGACCGTCGTCCCCAAACCGTTGGTTGTAGCTCTCAAAGTGGACCCGTTCCAAAATCAGGCCCAGCCCAGGAGCCTTGGGGATGTCCACCTTCTCCTCTCCCCAGCTCTGCTCCATGATGGATTGGGCGGCGTGGCCCTTGACGATCGCGATCACCAAGCCGATCATTTTCCGGATCTGGTGCATCATGAAACTCTGTCCTTTCACCTTCACTACCGCGAACTCCACACCGTCCCTCACGAAGGGCTCTTCGCAGAACATCTCCATGATGTAACGCTTGGCGCTGGGGTCCTTGGGGCCCTTCTGGGAGGTGAAGTTATGGAAGTTGTGGGTGCCTCTGTAGCAAGCCAGGAGGTCGTTGACAGTGTCCAAAGTCTCAGCACTCAAGCGGTAGATTTCACCCGGAGAAGCGTCATCCTTGTGGGCAAAGGCAAACGTCGGCAGCATGTACGAATAGGTCCGGGCATCGCATCTGTTCTTGGAATTGAATTTTCCAGTCACTCTTTTCAGCCCTGTTTTTTTGTTTATCAGACAAAACTTTAGGACAATGTCAACTTCGGGTCAATCTTTGTAATTTTTTCACAGCTGGGCAGGATCAAAATACAAGAACTTACACCAAGGGCCTTCAAACTTGGCAAGTTTAAGACTTGTGGACTTCAACTCCCAGAATTCCTGAGCTAACAGGACTGGAGGAGGAACAATTCTGAGAGTTGAAGTCCACAAGTCTTCAAACTGTCAAGTTTGAAAACCACTGAATTCTATCTCATCTGTATTTTTTATCTATCTATCATCTATCTATCTATCTATCTATCTATCTATCCATCCATCCATCCATCCATCCATCCATCCATCCATCCATCCATCTAATCCAAGGGTCTTCAAACTTGCCAAGCTTAAGACTTGTGGACTTCAACTCCCAGAATTCCTGAGCTAACAGGGCTGGAGGAGGAATTCTGGGGCTTGAAGTCCACAAATCTTAAAGATGTCAAGTTTGAAGACCACTGACTTACACCATAGTACGGGCCTTTTAATAATAGATTAAATGCTGAATTGAAGTGGAATGCCCAAACCTGATTAAAAGTGGTTTCCTTAAAAAGGAATCTCTTGGGATGATCTGAATCTAGATTTGATCGGATCAAAAATGGTATCAGAAATGGTATAGGGTTTCCTGCCTGAGCAGGAGGTTGGACTAGAAGACCTCCAAGGTCCCTCCCACCTCTGTTATTCTAAAAGTGTTATTCTAAAATTTTTGGGTATCTTGGGAACCAGCATTTATTTACAACAGGTGCAGTGTCCTAGGGCAGGGGTCCCCAACCTCTGGGCCATGAGGTTTTTTTCCCTAAACCCTCCCACCCCCCAAAAAAGAATGCAAATGACCAGCTTGTCTGCAAGGAGTATCAATCCTTCCATTCCCACCATCCAGTCAAGAGCTGAAGAAGCTTCTTGGATGAGAAGCAAAATGTCTTCAAAGAAAAACAAAGAAAGTCCAGTTGCTTCCTGAAAAAGCTCCTTTGGGACAACCATGACCTGGATGACTTGAATCTCCACAGAAACACTCCCCCACCCCCAAGTTTCTTATGCCTTATAATTCCAAAGCGCTTATACTCTCCCTTACCTAAAATTCTTATGTGAGAAGGAAGATGCTCGTTAATCTTCTGTAAAATATCTTCGATCAGCCAGACCTTCAAGGAAACGATCTGTCCGGCCGCAGACACGCCCTGAATTTTTCACCCCCCCAAAAAAAAGAAAGAAAAAAGAAATTAAATAAAAATGAGGAACAATAGAACTGGGCAGAATTGGTACATTGGATAAAAAGGCCACTGAATCCCATTTCAAAGAACGTTTGCAACTCAATTTACGTTTCACAGACATGAAAATATTAAATGTTAAAAATAAGTCCCAGGGGGGAAAAAGCGGTTCATTTAAAAACCACC